GTCTGCACAGGAAATCACATCTCAGCTCATTTTCTTTTACTTTTCATTAGGTGACATATAGAAGACGTGCRCTCCTGACTCGGCAGGCCAGCAGCAGTTCAGTGCTGCGTCAGCTGAGGAATGGAGATGCACTTATTGTTGCTCTTCTGTTTGTTAACAGGTAAATGTGCACAACTGACACAAATATAGCAAGATATGAGATCACTGAGAGTTGTGGGATGATGGGGGTAAAGTTGGCCGTTAATTCTCATGGTTGTAATGCTAAAATGTTAGTTCAGCTAAGCTAACTTTTACACGTGGTGRCAGGWCTTGCAGGATAATGCTGCTGTAATTTTGTGTGTGCTAGCAGAAGAATGCTGTAACTGAATAATTTTATATTTATACACTCATAAAAGTTATTGTATATGTGGCAGGCCAGCAGCAGTTCAGTGCTGCGTCGRCTGTGGAGGAATGGAGATGCGCTCATTGTTGCTCTTCTGTTTGTTAACAGTAATCGACAATAAAATAGGGTGACCAGATTTTAGACACTAAATCTGGGGACATTTTGAGCTTGAATAAAAAAAACTAAATATCATCAAGATGAAATGAAGAAACAGGGACAGCTACAGGTTCATTATTTTTACATATTTATTTATATTTAAATAATAAAAATCAAGTCTAACAGCAGGAATGTGTCTCCACTATGTAGTTAGCATTTCCTAAGAGTAATAAAACAAAGTAATTTTAGTATTAATAGAGTACTATAACTGAGGAGCAAGGGTGTAAAATAATGTTAAGAGAAAGCGCATGTGAATGAATGTGAAAATGTGTATACTTACATTGGTATGAATAGATACATTATGCGTCTGTGTATGGTTATATAGTAGTATATTGTGAGTGCATGTGAAGAGGGTGACCTCTGTTCAGGGAGTCTGCTAACATGAACTCATCTCTGGTTYTTTGAGGCCTCCTCTGTCTGAAGTGCCATCGGCCATGGTTATCAGGTATGGATGTCATGGAAGTCTGGATAGAAWAAGATCAGAAAAGTGTATGCCTAAAACTGAAAGAACACATGTATTAGTAAAGTGAAATACAACACAAGAACTAAGACAATATATTAATATGCTCATATACCTATTGTTGTTATTTTCTCTTCCATTTATTTTATGTTGTCTCCTGAAAAAACTTCCTCTTCTCTGCCACAGTTATGGAAATGTAGTGAATCTCACATCCAATTCAGAGAGACTTAGGAAGAGCTTCTTTCCTTAGACTCAAGTCAACCCCCTACCCAACATCCAACCAAGTATACAGCCACTGTTCTGCATTGCACACAGCATTACTCACTGTGTTATTTGACCACTCAAATCACTTCATCACTTGAACTTTAATTGTAAAAACTATGCATCATGAACATGTGACAGAAAAACTTGAACATGAACTGAAGAGCAGAAGTCTGAAGCAGTGGTTCTGATAGTATGGATAGAATAACAACAGAAGAGAAAATAAGTAAAATAAAAAGAACTGAGGTAAACCTAATTTTTTTAAACAAATCTAATCATGAAACAGCATCAGAAAGGCTTATCAATGTCAACAAAAAGGCTAAAATATCTAGAACTCAAAGAATTGCCCATGTTTATAAATGGCACTGATAAGTTTTTCTAATCATCACAGGAACATTTTATATATTCACTGCTTCTCTAGTATACATTAAAGATCAGATCATGTTTACTCAATACTCCTGGTCTCTCAGTCACTCTTAGTTTCCCAGTCTCTCCTTCAGTTTTCTTCTTAACCTAATCTGCATATTTTTCAGAAGAATGGATTTTCTTCAGGATGGCTTTGTCTTTGGCTAGCATCTCCATGAACTCCTGGCAAGGGAGGTTGATGTTTGTCTTCACGGTAAGCATGGCCTTGATGGTGGGAACAGTGAACCTGCTTCTGGTATCAGTCCATATTTCATTCATTATTGAGAACACCTGCTCTACTGGGGCATTATTTCCACGTAAGCACATGACAACAGATACTAATCTAGCCAGGTTAGTGTGTGGGATGTCATTTTCTTTAAAGTGCTTAAATACGGTGCTCCATCTCTGTTTGAGTGGTGTGTCTGCTTTTCTCCATTCATYAAGTGATCCACCTTTAAGGAACTTGTGCAGGGCAGAAACCTCATCAAATAAATCATCATCTTTGATAGTGACATTAGGGCATTTTTTGTAGTGTGTCTGTTGCCTTCTGGATCTCTTCATGTTGAGGTGTCTTTTTTAAAAGGAGACAGTATAAGTTGTTTAAACTATCGGCATGCTTTCCCCATGCTTGTAAATAGTTCAAAGCTGTAGTGAAGAATGACTGGGATGTTCTGAGGATGGTCTCTCTTGTCATTGCTCCATTTTCCTCAAGCTCCCTCAGGAGTCCTCTGGGCAGAAGTGGAATGAAGTTGTCGTCACATCTTGCTGTCACTTTAACCTCCAGGTTTCTTAAAATTGCAGCTGAMTCCACAGCACAGCGGTCCTGACCTTCAAGCGTTTTGATTGTATCACTGAATATGGTAAGGTTTCCATGAGCAAATGCAACCACATTTCCTTCAGTGGATCTTCAAACATCCTTTGTAGGACTACAGGACATTTTTCTTCAGAGAGAAAAAAAAGATTTTAGTGGTGCATACATTTTCAAAACTCTCTCCAGGGCAGGGAGAATGGACAGCCAGTGGACAYTGATGTGCCCTAGAATGTTATGGTACTCCTGGCCTACAAACTCACAGAAGCTTTTCAGTCGTTCTCGAAGAGTAAAAATATGAAAATCTCCAAATATTTTTGTGAGAAGGTACTCCATATCAATGGGAATGTTATCCAAAGCTGTTCTTGTAGCAGGATAAGCCAAGCCAATTACCTCGCGCTGCAAACAATCTTTCACTTTGGYGTGAACATTGACCCTCCCTGCCCTATTCAGTCCTCCAAAGTTGGTGTTTGTGTTGTCAGCAGAGAATGCCACTACTTTTTTTTCTAGGGTGTATTTTTCTATCACCACCAGGATCTCAGCTGCAAGTTCCTCTGCYGTTTCTCCTCTGAGCTCAACAAAATCAAGCAGTTTAGTTTCTACAGACATGCTACCATCATATATTTTGCAATATCTGACTATTATTGGCAGCAGCTTCACACATCCGTGATTGGATGACTCTATCGGCAGGGACACAAATTCAACCTGATCTAGGTCCTGTCTCAGCATAGTGGTTGTCCAAGGTGCAAAATCATTCTTCACTATGACATCACCTTTGGTCCTAGCACATGAAAACTTTGGTTCATAAAGCTTCCTTGTCAGCTGTGCTGTGCAGTCCATAGAGTGGTAACTATGATTGTGCAGTGAACATTTTCTATTTAATGACAGGTAAATAACAATAAAAAAATCTTGTTAAATACATAAATATTCAACCAGCTTAATAGTCTAAGTTATTGGCTGACTTCAGATCTAGTTTAAATCATTATTTATATATTTTCCTTATAATGTAGCTGTTTTATGTGATTTTTGAATGAAATTAACATAATTAACAATCCTATGAATTTATTGTAAAAAGATTACAATTAATTCGTCTCACAGATCCATCTGGGCTTGCTCTTGATTAAWTACTTGATTTGTCGGCTGTGAGCTGTTGCCCTGTTTGCTCCTCCACTGTGCCACAGGTCCTATCAGTCGATGAGATAGGCGGGGCTCACTCTAGGGATGTTTAACTCTGTTTTGACTTCCAAATATTTAGCTGATGTTTGAAGGCAGCCTTAAATGTATGCTGCACCAACACATCAAAGAAGTAAACAAATGTATTGCTTTGCAAAAAAACGAGACGTCTAGCAGGACTTACTGTAAATTTCTGAAAGAATCAAGTCTCTTTGTTTCAAACTATGACTCAGTCAGCCTGCTACGATTAAACTGGTCTGAGAGCTATCATATGATTCCAGTGAAACGTGGGAATATCAACAAAGCATAAAGGGAGAAGTGGAGTGAATTATTTTAAAGCAGTGCAATGACAAACAGCTGAGTCACGACCACAGTCTTGTTTGTCACGTTACCCTGTTTGTTCTTACTCTGTGCTATGGGGATATTTTACATTACATAGTCAGTGTTAACTGGGAGACCCAGTTTTCTATCAAGTCTTTGTATTTTCTTCCATTCATCTTTTTAATATTTGAGACTGGGACGGAGGTCCTCCTTTCTGGAGCCTGGCCATTGCCTTCCCATACACAATTCTGCGTATTCTGAGTCTCTCCCTTCACTGCTCCGTCTGGGGTTTCTCCCCATGCCATGGATTTCTCCAACAGAATTCCAACCAGGCCGATCGGCGAACAGAAGGAGTTGTTTTAGTCTGCCTGTAATTTAGCAATGACAACGGTGCAAGTGAATTCAGTCCGCGTTGACAAGCTTCCAAATGAAATTAGTCTCTCAAAGCCTGCAGCATCACATTGGGCTCTGTACGTCTCTTCCCAGTAGCAGATGGTAGTTTACAGCGCACACAATTTACAGTTAGCTTCATGGCCTTCATGGTCGAGCTGGCGCACTACATACATCATGGCCAAATGTTAGCGATTGGGTAAAATCAGATGCAATTCTTTTCAACTTCCACAGAGTCCACAAATCCAGCAATTGTTCCTCAATAGCYGRGGGTCCAGACTCTCGTAGGAAGCACAGTGTGGGACAAGGGGCTGGTTTTTACCAGACTATTCTTTCTGCAAATGCTGCTAAAGCAAAACTCCCCAGTGGTTTAAGTACAACCAGTTAAATGTCCCAGAATTATCAGAAGACCAGACTTCAGTTCAGCGGAGTATCTTTGTGTTGCTGTGTTAAAGATTGCATCTTCTTGCCTCTATAGTGAGGTTACCGCAGCTTTATGCCCCCACCCCAAGTTGAGCAATTTACAACTTCTTGTGCTTCATGCAAAGAAAAAACAAACAAGCAAACAAAACTAAATATATTTTAAAATGATATTTATTATTTGTAATCATAAATGTGCGAGAAACTCAAAATTGTTCCTGAAAGAAGATTTCAAAATGATTTAAAGCACAACAAATAATGACAGATAGGGAATAAAATCAGCCGACATGCAGTCCCAATATTTGACCGGGTCACATTTCTAAATATAGTTTGATTAGAATGAATACCATAAACGCTTAGATTTTAGTTTTAAATATATATTAGGTAAAAAAAACTCCAGTAATGAAAGAAAAGCTTCTTTTATACGTGCACATCACTTGAGTTACTGCTTTACATTCCACCACTGCTGAGAAAGACATGAAGAAAAAGAGCAAAACCTGAGAGAGTGAGAGGCTGAATGGCGGGGCTCAGGTTTTCACCACTACTGAACACGCTATCGTCAAAAGGGTCTGCGTGGCTGGAGGTCGGGCAGGTGAAGAACATGTCGTCGTCGACGTCTGGAGAAGTGAAGGTAATAAAGCCCGGCTTCATTCCGCTGACGGTGTCACCGATCCACTTCTGGTACTGGGACACCCGAGTGTAGACTCCTGGTCTGTTTGGGAGGGCACAACCATCACCGAAACTAACAATTCCTGCCTGGACCCATGTAAAACCATTTTGTGTCATCAGTGGTCCCCCTGAGTCTCCCTGTGGAAGAAAAAAAATAATTGTAAGTGTTATGGCAATATTTATTTAACAACAGAGACAGAAATACGCTGGTCAAGAATGAAGGTACTCCGTGGGAT